CAGTTAGTTAAATAAAAAACGATTCAACTGAAAATGTCATTCATTATATGCAAAGACCAGAAAAATATGGAAATGTCATTGACAAGAGAATGAAACGGTAGTAATGCTGAAAAAGGGTATATATGGAACAATCCTAACCAATAAAAAGCATAGCAATTTAGATGCCGTGAAGCAGCGGTTCTTAATGTGATGAGATGCCTTTTGTAAAAACTCTCCGTGCATGCGACGCAGTAGTGAGAAAATATTTGAAAACGAAATGATAGAAACACTGAAAATCGAGTTTGGTTAGCTTTATTAGACGTGAGGACTTAACGATGTTATGATATATCTCTTAGATAAACCGTTTGTATCGTTTTCAGTACAAGCTGAATATTCGTTATTCAGGAAAATTCACAAAAATTTCAGTTTAATTGAACTTATCTTACAGTGAACTCGGAAAGTAACATTGTGGTTTGATTTTATCAGTAATTATTGATTACAGTTGTGTAATAGTTTATTTAAATACTCATACAGTCAGTAGAGTATGACTTGGTGTGTATGTTTTGGTGCTGAACATTGACTGTTTCATCATTATCTTCGATTCTAGGTTTTCTAAAACCTTCAAATAAGTTATTTTGAACTAAATACCACATACAAACACATTTGTGTACGCACGAATGCTTTCTTTTGCAGCATCTACAATCCAGGTTACCTTCTTGAATATCGGCTGTGAGGATAATTCTACCAAATTTGGAATAATAGTGATATTCACCATTGTATAACGAAAACATGATAAATCTTGTTGATTCGTGTATTGCGTAAAGCAATTTTGATTTGGTATTTAATGCCATCTTTTTGAGATCTAGACATTGTTCTATTTTCGTAGGCTTGATAATTTTGTATTTGCCGTCAATCGATAGTTCGGATAAATAAGTGTCATTTAGTGTCTCTGATTCTGGATACTTTGTATCAACACCCACAAGCCTCAAATGTCTGCACTCTGCACCAGTCATGCCACTGCGCCATGCCATATACATGTAATCTCGGCAGGCAGAGTCTTCACAGTCAACACCAAAATCGAGCGAAATTTTCGATAAATTTTTCTTTATGTGTATGGGATAAAAGACTCCTCCTTTGGAGCTTCTTCGAACCATATACAAACCCCTTATTTTGTCGACGCAATACACGACATTTTCTATTTCTTTGTTATGAATATTTCGATAATGACGAGGCAAACTTCTGGAGCACATTTCCTTCCTGCACACTGGACAAGTGATCATTTTTTCAAGAACACGCCTTGGTTTTTTCTCTGGTGCATAATCGCAAGCATCATTAAACTCTGTATTTGATTTGATATTCATTTCAATGGATCCATTATCACAGGCGACGTTTGTTTTATGATTCATCTCAATGGAATCATTATTACCTAAGGGGGGGTCATCTGTATACTCGCAGACGTCGTTCAGCTCTATTTTTGGTTTAGTATTCATTCTAACGCCACCAGTTTTATTTACCGTGTGATTTTCCATGTGAACATGTAGCTGTTTTTCCCTTATTATTGTTCTGTTACATATCAGACAATGATAATGAGGTCTAAAATACCCCAAATGTCCGTGATTTAGTTTGCATTTCAGACATTTATAATGCTGATATATGACGGATTGTCTCGCATGTACTTCCTCAAAGTGTCTTTTGCAATGCGCATGGCCAGCACTTGCAGCTTTGCATAACAAACAGTGTAGATGATGATTGGGTTTCTTACTACAATCAGGTTCTTCACACAGTCGGAATCGAATCGCGTAAGTGTCATCCTCTTTTGAATCTTTATCTGGACCATTTGCAAAAAACCAAGGAGTTGTTCTGAATGATGAAAATAATTGTTGTAAATAATTAAATCATGGTCGCGTATAATCTTGTTTCTTAGAAGCAGTGATATTAGCATATTTGTTTGAATTTAGGTTGAGATTAAATCAAATCTACATTGTTCAGTTAGAAGAATGAATATATATATATATATATAAATATATATATAAATATATACATATATATGAATATTTCGATTCGGAATATTTTAGACTTTGACGATATAAATTACACCAACAAGTTGAATTTTGAATAATTACACACGTCAGCATATCACGGAAGCAAAGTATACCAAATAACCTTTTAGCGTAGCTAGTTTTTGACATCTTCAATCTTCAACCCGGATTCATATTCAAACAACCTTAAAATAGGAATATATTAGTTCACATGTAGGAAGCGATGAACCGCGGCGCGAAATCTATTATCTTGATTAAGAAGACTGACATACATACTTGTTGAACGAGTAAGATTCGATATCAATTTTTTTTGAGGTAAGGCAACTTCTCTAACTTTGTTGGTTTTTGGAGATAAACGACTGAATTCAAACCTATACTTTTGTGAGAATTTATTTTCCTAAAAATTCATGTATTAGTACCTGAAAAGTTTGGTTTTAAAATTGAAATGTTTTAAATAGGTAATTTAAAGTTCACCATTTATCAAACTCGATCTGGCATTCTCAATGTTGAAAATAACCACAATATTTATCGATAAGATTTCCAAACGAGAATATTGGTCGGAGACCAAAGACTTATCGATCGAAGATCGCTAATTAATTAATAACTCGCTAATTATTCGACATAATTCATCCAAAATTAATAGGCTTCTGGTCCGAGATATGATGAATGCACATGCAAAATTTGGAGCAGATTCAACCTCGCCTTCGTGAGATATCGCGTTCATCTAACAGACAAACAGACAAACAAACAGACAAATACCTTAAGATTATAAGTAATAAGAAATATGTATTGGATCGCAGTTTACTATTGCCAATAGGCCTACTTAACAAACTTTTCCGAAGTGTGCATCCCAGAAATTATGTCATTATTCAAACAAAATAATATTGCCACATAAATTTGAAGATTCCTATTGGGATTAGTATTTGCAACGAGAATATCGGTCGGAGACTGAAGAGCGATTTTTAATTAATTAATAACCTGCTAATTATTGGACACAATTAACCCAAAATCAATAGGCTTCTGGTACGAGATATGATGCATGCACATGCAAATACCTATCAACATACTTACCGATCTTAAGATCGATAAGTAATGACTGTTAAAAACCAGGCATGATTGTGCAATTATTGTCGTACCAGTTATCTCGCTTGTTAAAAATGCCTATGTCATCCAGGGTACTCGGTACTCTCGAAGTATGCGAACCAAGATGGCGGACACCGGAACGTAGCATGTGTACCAAGTTAGGGTTTAGGCAATAATTTTATTTCAATTTCCTCTCATTTTAGTTCTATTGCGATTTCGGGGAATAACCAATTGACTCCCGTAGTATTTGTCCCTGAAATTATGGCATAACACCTAACCTGGAACATATACTACGTTCCGGTGTCCGCCATCTTGGCTCAGTACTTCGGGAGTACACCTATAATTTTTGTAGGAAAAAGCATTGAACTTTTTAGTAGGTTGATAGTATTTCTAGATAACATTTTAATGTTGAACCTTTTTAATATTGAAATAGAATTGTTATTGACTTCAAAAACTATAGTTGGCGGGCTCTTAGGGCCTTTGATTCCTAATGAGTATAATCTGGACTGTACTTGTTTCGAGTGAGATCCCTATAAGACTTAGCCTACACAATATAAATACGCGTGAATACCTTGGTGGTTTTTAGTGTTGTAATAATTCCTAACGGTGTAATACTAATATTGTATTTATACCATGTTTACCACCGAAGTATCGGCAACCGCATCGTATGAGCTTGCAATGTAACCTTCAAATAACAAAAATTTATAATTTCCTCGGACCCTTGAAATTGCTTTGTGGGCTCCTTGGGGAGCCCCGTTGAGAAACACTGATTTAGACTTTAGAGCTGACATGAGCAAACTACGGCCCGCGGGCCGAATCCGACCCGTTGGGTAGGTTAATCTGGCCCGCCTCAAGATGCCACAACCCCACTGAACCAAATTTTAATGTTTTAGCTGAAAATTTGCCCAAGGAATGTGTCGAGATTGGGATTAAATTTAGTTTTGGCACGGGGCTTATTGTTTTCCGTATTTGCATATCTAGGACTGTAAATATTGCTCATGAAATGTATTTTTTACGTCACACTCACATGGCCCGCAAGTCTAGGTGTGCAAAAATTTTGGCCTTTTGTTCAAAAACCTTGCCCACCCCTGCACTAGTCTGTCTGTGAAGTTGTGTATATTATCATTGTTACGTTAAGGTTGCACTGTTGCTGTTAAGCTTGAACTTGATTGGTCAAGTAACCCCACATATATTGTTTCAACTTCCGCGCTATTGCCTGATTTGAGTCACTCATCATTTATAGCTTGAACTTGAGGCAATTTATATTTCTCAGTCACACAAACTTTGACCAAGCTTCCTGAATTTGAATAAATGCATCTCGATTCTCGAATCGTATAAATCTGGCTGCAATTCATACATTCCCGGAGTAGAAACAAAAAGGTAACTCCATCCTCAAAATGTTGGTTATTGGATAATAAACTGTCGCCATTTCACGTCGGATTATTCTGCCTGGGTTGCAGATTTGAATTACATGGGGTATAATTATTTGTGAGAGTATTGTAGCAAGGTGATTCACATAACCACTGGTCGGTTACGGCTTCATCCACCAGCAAGGCCATGCATCCGAAACAAACAACTGGCTAACTAATTCCATACCCGACATGGACTGGTAACGGGACCAGAGGCGGTGGTACGGCTTATCCAATAAAAATAATATCTCATCCTAATAAATCCAGCGTGGGGTGCGAATAATTTGAAGAGAATGGGATTGAATGCCAATGGTACCACTGTTGGACTAAGCCCTCTCCGCTACTCATGCTCATATGTCTGCAATTGGTCATCTATATCCATGCAAAGTAACGAGACAAAAGGCTGTGGTCCATTGTATGATTAGGACATTCTACCAACATACTCATACTTTCTACTAATGTTTGAAAAAAAATCCCAACAAAACAAGACTATGAGTAACAAAGAAAATGATAAAGTGTGTATATTATTTATTGCATCTTTAAACTCTGTATTGAGTAAAATTTGCACGCAATCGAAGATCCCCCAATAAAACACATGATTAAATTGAAATTTCTCCAACAGTCAATTTCAGGTACAAATATTACGGGGGTCACTTGGCTAGTCCCTGAACTCTGAATATAACTAAAATAAGGAAAATTGGAAAGAAATTATGACCTAACCATAACCTGGTACACATACTATGTTCCGGTGTCCACCATCTTGGTTCACATACTACGGGAGCGCCCTTACTTAATGCTCAAAAACCAAAGTACTTCCTAAAATAGTCCGTACATTGGAAATTTTTTGGGAGTGATTATAACTTGACATTCAGAACTCATGCTATTGGTAGCCAATGAGCAGATGCATATCTCCCGGTGATATAGTGATATATATCTGAAATAAGAATATGTGGCCAAGTATAAAACAAGGTCTGTTATGTGGTAATCATAGAATCATATAGATTAGGGTTTCCCAAACTTTCCATTATGCCATTATGCTGAACCACCTGGCAACATTTCCTCAATTTGTTTTACCTGTCTTTCAATATCAGTGAGCAAGGAGGAAGCTCCAATCCGAAACAAGTCATTTCTCATCCATTCATCACCCAACTCTTCTTTCATCAAGGCAAGCCAAGTACGAGCGTCCTTCGCACTACGGATTCCTCTTGCTGGTTTGAATCCAACCTGAGAAAACAATGTCAACACGAATAAACACTATAAATCAGTGGTTCTCAAACGGTAGGGCGCACCCCAGAAGGGGTCGTAGACAATTTGATCTCGTATATTTTGGATACTTGCATTTTTTACTTTTCCAGTCAAAAGCAACTGCACTAATAAAATTAATAAAAAATTTTGCTTGTTTTTGAAACTTCGTTTCCTCATTTCATTATTTACGTTCCATCCGCATATTTTCAACATGTGATTTAAAAAACATACTTCCACCTTACTATATGCTATTTGTAGCTTATTTATAGCTAGTTATTTTTGAGGTGTGGCCCAAGACTTGACAAATTCTAAAAATGAGATGATGCGTGGCCCAAAAAGTTTGAGAACCACTGCTATAGACATTTCACCGTGGTTTTGAAAGAAAAGAAAATGAAAATTTTTTTTTAAATTATGAGAGTTGAATATAACACATGACAAAAGTTGACTCTTCAATTTTCCAAACATACCTTATAACCTGTTTTCTGATAATACTCTCTGATAGCTCTAACCATCACTAATCCAACAGGTACGAAATAGCACTTTTTTCCGATTTTAAGAGCAAAAATTCCAAGTTGACAATTATTTTTGTGCCAGTATGAAGTTGACAAATAAGTTGCCTACTAGTACTTTTGTAACCCAATTTTGCATTACATAAGATATTTGCTGGAATTCTAACCTATGTGGTGCATACATTTGAGATAAAGCTTTCGCATTAAACGGCAAAATTCTTGTTTATAATATGATTATTATACAAGCACACCGATTCCGCTTCTCCCGCAAAAACAGTTGGCGGCGTCTTTGAAACCAGATGTCCTAATACAAAGCAGTGCGTTTCTTCAAACGAGAGTGGTCATGTGACTGTCAATGACATCGATGAATTGTGACCAAATTACACGATTTTCTAGTGCAAGTTTGACGGGATTTGTTCCTTCCTTAGTGAATTTATTGGAGTCATTCAGAAAGTTGATTAATCGAATACAGGGGAAGCATTTATTTATCATCTCACTGGCCAACATCTGGCGGAATTGTACGATCATGTTGTCTTCCTTAAATAATAACTTTTTTAATGAATGTTTATATTTTACATCTGAGTATTAATTATGATATGTTCTTGTTGGGTTTTCATTTATTTCAAATTAGAAATTGTCCGGGATGCCCAAATAGATGTATAATAATAATATTATAGTGTAATCGAGTAACCAACATACCAAAGGAAAGTCTAAGGAACTTGAGGCGCTCAGCCAGGATTACGGTAGAATTAAATACCGGTAAGTGCTTTAATCGTACAATTTACAACTCCGTAAGACGTCTGTTAAAAACATTCCAGAGTTTCGTGTAGCTCGCCTCCCTCTGTAGTCGTTTGGTGAATATTAGGTATGCCTATTTCAAGAATATACTTGCTAATCTTCGACCATTATTTAATTCGCAATCAGTTGTAACCACGTAGCGTTTTTTTTTCTTCATAAATGAGGTATTTCCGGAGAGAAACAAATGTTAGAAATGGAACGATAAAAATAGTGAAAATTAATTTCAAGAGAAAAGTAAAACTCGCGAGTATCAATGGTTTTACAATCGTTTATATGCGCAAAAACATTGATTAAATGTGCATGAAATGTGTGAAACTATTACTCGTGGTAATTTAATGTTAATCTTTTTATTGTCATTCTATGAGTATTTACCTACACGTGATTAGAGACTGGCAAAATCAGATTTTTTCTAATAGAATAATTTGAATATTTATTTTAAGTTAATAGACACTTACTAAAGACTGAAAACTCGGTAACAAGGCCGAGTGTTTACTTCCTAATTTTGTCACAATCGCGGATTATTTTTTGTCACTGTGACCGTTTCAGAGGCCAACATCCTAATTATTGTTGCACTATTTTTTAAAGCTTTTTTTCCACAAGTAATAATTCTCACGCAGCGGCGGATATTAAAGTTATTTTTATATTTCAAGCTGAACTATGAGTTCACATGGGCGTAAATCAAAGTGACAATGTATAACAAAAATTAAAATAACTAACAGATAGGTTACATCAGACCTTTTCGTGCCGTTTTGCACGAGTGAATTCATATGCGTAACCCATCTGACAGTTATTTTAATTTTTGTTGTATATTGTGACTCTACTAAGTTTTATCAGGGGATACGTGAGCCCAACTAATTTACCTTGCTCGGCGCTCTTGAAGTATGTATACCAATTTGGAGATAACTAATTTTGTTCACCTATTTTACATCAATTTGTGTAACGGGACTGAAACCTATGGACGGGGTATATTCACTTGGCTAACACTCACAGTCCCCGAGCTCGTAATGGAATTGATGAACAAGGAAAATCAGGATAAAAGTATGGCCTAACCCTAACTTGGTACACATACTTCGGGAGTACTCCTTGCTCTATGCTATTGCAGCAGTGGAACCGTAAGTGTATATATAATGCAAAGATGCTATAGCAAGAATAAAGGTAACTATTCATATTTGATTTAAAAGTTTTGTTGCATACTAACACAAATGTATTTCTGCAACGTTGACGGGGATCAGACTTTTCCAGACCAACAACTATGACTAGAAAAAGTATGCAACAAGACTCTTGACTGGAATCAAATAAAAATTTAAAAGCTTACAAAATTATGGGTTAATTTATTTGGAAGTTGGAATTTAAGTGCGGCGGTGTGGCTCATATACTAAGCGCCAGGAATATGCCATATGGTTAAGCCATCTTATCGTCAATTCTATCCCCCGGGATAAATATGTAAACCCTATCCTACAATACTTACCAGCCATCATCGCTACCAGACTTGATTTAAAAACATTTGTCATAGTTCCTAAATCTCCTGTTTCAAGTATTGTTTTCATATGAATACATTCACCACATGCTTTCTTACATGCCTTCGAAAATGCCTTGAAAAATATTCAGAATCGTAAACAAGTCATAATTTATATTTACACTTTGAAACTTAGTTTTTAGGGATACTGTTTTTAGAGACAAACCAGAATTCAGACAATGAGTGGGTACAAGTTCCGTTTCGAATATAAAAAGGAATTTGCTGATGTCAAACAAAGTCGAAGGGTAAGAGCCATATTATGCTCACTGCTGCTATTGTGACAGCGATATCAACCTAGAGGCCATGGGAAAAACAGCAATTAGCAATATCAGCGATAAAGTGCGCTTAAATCAGTTGCACGTTTGTTTGAAAGCAGTACTGTTTTTCACGGACCATTTGGCGCTCTACATATTTTTCCTCTCTCAAAAATTATTCGTGCCTTATAAGTATAGTATGGTGCGCCTAATATATAGATCAGGTAGTGGTTTATGTTTATTCCCCACATCCATCCTCAGGATGTCTTGCGTATTAACATCCTTACAAGCTGCCGCTTATATGTAAAGAACGACTAGAGTACGAATCCCACACAAAGGGACTGCGAAGCCCAAAACAAATTCGAAACTAAACAAATTTGAAAAAATAATTTCATCTTTCTAACTTTTCCAATCTCCATGTAAAGCTTCGGTTCTCGAAATCACAATATCAATTTCAGAAGCTCCCGACTCGACTGCCCTTTGAATTTCGATCAATTTGATTTCCAAAGGAGTCTGTCCTGCAGGAAAGCCAGTTGCAACTAGAAAATAACAAAATAACATTTAATTTGGTCATAATCATTTCATACAGACTGTAAAAAAAGTAATGCAAATCCAGGCTGGGTATTCAGTAAACTGAAAGCACACATTAGTAATGACTATAGCGATATGCCAACTAAATAACATGTTGTGTGTTAGCATATGGAAAGGGTATTAACGAAATAGCAAATATTAAAATTTGGATGACAGTTTTAATGGTAAATTACAAAGAAAAAGCTGCTTTTTGAACTGTTTTTTTAATCAGAGTTTGAAGCCATATTCACCAAATAGTTAAAATTAAAAAATATATTTGTTTTTCTTTCTTTTTTTTAAAACAGTTTTTTACTTCAAATTTCACCTTCCCTGCATAATAAAGCTTGGGGAGATGTATAAGTATAAAACTATTAACAGCTTGAAAAGATTGAATAAAGCACAATAAGAATTCTCATGATAACCCCGAAGAAAACTGATAAAATAGATTCCAACTTCGAACCATATTTCCTGAAATAACTAGGAATCCCCTTTATTATAATTTCCCACCAACTGCAAACCCAGGCTGGGTAATCAATTATTCAAGGGCAAGCAATTTCAAATGGCTAGAACAATATGCCAACTATAGAGATTGATTAATTCATGATGTATGAGAGCATATCGTTTAAGTCAGGGGTGTGCAACCTTTAATACAGGAGGGCCAGATAGAAATAACTGGTTGAAACCACGGGCCGCACCTTAACATGCGCTATCTAGTAGTAGGAACGAAAATTTTGGTTATTGATTTTGTGACATGCGTTGTTTGCACAAACTAGATGTTAATAAGACATTTTAAAGTCATAGGCATGGATAATAAATTGGACCCATGTATGGACACAACGTAATGGGATTAGAGTTCTCCATACAAAAAAAAACTTGTTTTGCAATCTGCACATCATTCAAAATTTGCACTTCCCACTCGTGCTGCAAAATTTTTCCTTGAGAGCTGCAGGTTGAACAGCCCTGTTTGCGTAAATAATAGTAATAGGTCGAACTAAAACGCGATCCAGCCTGATGCAACAGGAATATTATTGATTCCAGCAGCTTTGAAACATTGAACTGCTTCTTGCACTCTGGCTGGGTAGACACACACAGCTCCTACTGCTATACCTACAGATTGCAATTCACTGCATTACTGAACAAAATAAATGGGAGGAATGATGAGATTCATGAGAACTATGAAATAATTTGTATTAAGTCATCCCAAGAAATATAGGTACTGCCGTAGTATATGTACCAAGTTAGGATTAGGCCATAATTTTATTCCAATTTTCTTTTTTTAGTTCTATTACGAGTTCGGGGACCGTCTGTGTTAGCCAAGTGAATACACCGTCTGCCCATCGGCTTCTGTCCCTTTACACAACTTGATGTAAAGTAGGCGAACAAAATTAGTTACCTCCATAGTGGTACACATACTTCTGGAGCGCCGAAATATAATATTTAAATACATTTGAAAAATAAAACAACAAAACTTGCAGCGCAATAAATTTGATATTTTTTACAATACGAGTTTCCATGAAAAATGCTTCACATTAAAGTTATTTTTCAGTAAATTTATAGCCTACTCCTTAACAGCAAATTGAAATTGTACCGATTGCTCTACACCAGGGGTGGGCAACTTCTCTAGTCGGCGGGCCAGATGTGGGAAAATGAAGTTCTCGGCGGGCCGAATAATAACATGAATAGTATTCAATATCTTAATCACATATTTATTCGCTAATGCGAGAAAGAAAATTATAAATCCAGTTCAAAGTAAAGTTTAAACTACAAAAAATAGAGACCAAAAAACCCATAATGAATTTATCATAATGTACTAAAAGTGTAATAATGTAATATCATAATGTACTGATGTACAGTCAGCGGGCCGGTCAAAATCTCGCCGTATGTTGCCCACCCCTGTTCTATACCAATTGTTATGAAACGATGGGGAATGCTCTACAAGGGGGAGAGGTAGACAATTTTTAAGGGGGTGTGAAGCTGAATAAACATAAAAATATTGAATATTGACATTTCAAATATTATGTACACATATTTTCAACAAGTTTTTTGAAAAAAAAATATACCTCAGCCTTGCTGTCATTTGTAGCCTATTGTTAGCTATTTTTTGGAGATGGGCGAGGGACTTGGCAAATTCTAAAGAGGGGGCGGGGCGTTCCATAAAAGTTTGAGAATCACTGTTTTAGATTAAATATTTAGAAACAGAAATAATTGCAAAGCAATATCTCACCAGCATCCTTCATGTCGAAAGCTTCAATTAAATCATCTCTGATTGGATGTTGAGCTTTATAGCAAAGTCTTTGTCGTTTGAATCAATACATGTTGTTGCTCTCAATAACCAAGCCGCCTGTTAGAAAATAATATTTTGTGACTGATATATGATTGTGTTTGAACAAATGTCCAAACTTTTAGACTTTGTTTCGTGAGATCGTTATTGTAAAATATCAAATTTTGTAAACGCTACCGCCTACCGGTATTGATTTTAAAAGTTAATTACCGGTATGGCTTGAAAAGTTTAAATTACAATTAAACCCACCTGCCATGCTTTTTTCAGTTCTTTTCTTTGGCACAAAGTTTCTGCTCTTCTATTTACAGCGGGAAGATTT